TGGATGTGGAATGATGTTAAGCTAAGTTCAATTTGTAATTATTGTTTAAAAAATATTTTTTAATATGAAAGTATGGTATTTGAGAAACGAGTGTGATACTTGAAGACTAGTTTATAACTGCTGTGGCAGGTTCTTGTATATACATAGATGTAATTATTTAAATTAGCACTTGTGTCATCCTGAAAGTTGGCTGTGCTGAAAAGTTTGTCATTTATGTTATATTGAATAGCTTACCAACCAGCAGCATGTACATAATGTTGTTGACGCAACCGTTTTACTTGTATTTTATGTTATAAGGGGAGTTTCTTGCTTCATATATTAGGATAGCTCTATTTCATTATATTGGGTATAAAGTGATTCACTAATTACAGTTCCTGTTGTAATCTAAAAAAAAATGTCACATTTTTTTATATATGTAAGGCAATTAAAAGTTGTCTGACCTTTATAAAATAGAAACACCTCTTGTCATGTAAAGTTTTCTGACAATTTACCGGACCTGAAAAGTATACAGTAGTGTAATCAACTTAACTACAGTTACACTTATACATTCATAAGTATTAGTATATACAGTCACATTTTCATATTGTAAAATACTGAATTTAACATAGTCTTAAAAACAATTTTAATCTGAGGAAAGATTTTGATATTGTTTCTCATCCTAGAAAACTGGCTTCTGACTCAATGTAAGTTTAGGTTATCATAATTAAAATGCTAAACAAAGAAAGAACACCCTTAGCAACCATAGTTCATAGACACAGAAGATCATACAAAACATTTTCTGAAACCTCCATTCTCGAAGTATTTTTTTTTTCTTTACATTTGTAACAAATTAAACAGAGAGCAAGTGATTAAGGATAACTTTTAAGTTGGCAGAAGAAAATAGTACTGATTTAAAGAAATGGACATATTAGTATAATATTAAATACCATAAAGTACATCAGTTCTTTCTTTTTTATAACTACAAATAGAGAATGAGAGCAATGATTAGAAACATAAAGGAACATGTCAATACTTTTAGACAATGATTAACAACATGAAGAAACATGCCAATTAGTTTAACAATTTGTAGAAAAAAATTGTTATGTGCGATTTAAAATTTCTTATTGGCAACTAAGATCAAAATAATTACTTTGTGCTTATTACTAATAGATTCATACTAATCAACTTGTAAGAACATGTTTGATGTCAATAAGAAAGCATAGTTTTTAATTTTAGGTCTATGAGCATCTTTCAAACAACATGTATACAAGGGAAGTCTTGTATAAAAAAGTTTTCACAGCTCTCCCCAGTTCTGTAATTGGAAAATGTCATTATAATCCATATAAAAATCTACAGGTTTCTATCTCATATCTTTTATATTGTGGTGACTTTGGTTTCATTAAATCTAGGTTGTCTTTTGTTTTTGTATGTATATTATAATAACAGATTTAAGGGGAATATATGTATATCAGACTTTATTGGAGTAACCCTTATAGTAATATATAACTGTTAACTGTAAAAGCTAAATGTAGGTTGAGGTTTCTATATGGTATGCAGATTATTCTGGTAAAATGTTAAGAACATTTTTATCATTTGGTGTCTGTTGAGTTTATGAATGTTTAGCTATATGATCCCAGATATGTTTTTCTATTTTTGCATTACAATACCCATCTTGATATATGTTTTTCACAGGTTGGGTGTGAACTTCAAAGAGAGGTATTAAGCTATGCATTTATGATTCACATTCAAGTTTTAACAAGTATGATACAAAAGATATACACGTTTTTTTTTTAAAGGAGTATCTCAACAGAGATAATCGAAATTTTCACTTATGTGTGTGTGTGTGGGGGGGGGGTATATTACTTAGTAAAGGGTTGTAAATATTAGTTATAAATTTGACTACTTTTAAAATTTTTGAAGTTTTGAAACATAAAGGTTATTTTTCAATTACATTTTTAGATATACTATATTTATGCATTTTTTTTGCAACATCAATTATATATAGGAGTATAGTAGATTTAAAGTATGTACGAATTAGGCAGATATCATTAATAAATATTTACTAAGTATCATGTAAATTGTTTACAACATTTTTGGACTGGTTTTCTTGTACAATATTCCCACACCTACTACCCATTAAGATATTCCTTTGAATAATATGTTTGGTGAATAAATGTAGTGTTTAGCCTATTATTAGTAGTATTTTTTCATGGGCAATCTATAGTGCTAATGAAATATTCATTACCCATCTAAGTACAATGTAGCTCATTGCTTTTAGGGTTAGTAAAAAATTAAAAAATTAAAAACAGATTGTGGGCTGAATCCACAAGAATAAACTAGTAGCATCAATGCTGCATGTTTTTGTAATTCCTATATAAATGTAGGATTGCTGTGTGAGTAAGACATCTCAAAGCACCATACATATTTTAGGGTTAGTATAAGCTGCCATTTAGCTGTACAAAGTACAACTGATTTATAAAATGGTATTGGTTATTGTAAAATATTTTGTTTAATTTGACAAAATAGCATCATATTGGAACTTATTTGAAATTTTTGATGTATATTTTACATGTTCTTAAAAATATATTCCTATTTAGTTGATATGTCTACAGTCCCAATTGGCTGAAGCAACTGGAAAGTTCTAACTCTCTGAATGATTTAATTTTGATTCTTGTTTGAATTATGTTACTGGTGGAAATTAACTCAAAGAGTAAAACAAATTCTGTTGAATATTTTCAGTATCTACTAGTGAAATCTAATTTTGTAAAGTGTGTGTGTGTGTATATATATGAAAACGTGTCTTCTACATTTGGAAACTTCAAATTTTATATGGGTAGTACTCTACAAATGATGTGTACCCATTGCATTGTGAAAATATTCTTTGTTATTGTAATGGCTATAATTATATTCCTTGAATTATATCATGCTATTCTTCTTTGCTCCATACAAAGGTTAAGCATGGCCAGGTGGTTTGGGCACTAGCAGAAAATTTTAAGAGGGATAATAAATTAAAAAGATGAGATTGATCTAAATCTTTAATAAAATGGTCATTAAAACAAATCAAATCAAATGTAATAGTGTTTATAGGAGTTTTATTTTTATTAAATGATACAAAACGAGTTTATTATATATAAAAGCTAAAAACTGTGATCAATATGCCTAGATTTTTCAGGGGGCCAGGCCCCCGCGTGGCTACGCTTCTCCTTTCAATATGAAAATGCTTCTTGCATGTTCCACACACACTTTTTAGCTGTCTGGTATCTGTCTTTTCTAACCAAGAGTCTTGACTGGAAGTACAGTTAAACTGCTTTTGGGACATTTCAAAATGTAAACTAGGGGGACAGAAAAGACTCCTCCAAATCTCACTAGACTCGAACTATTTTTACGAGAGGATTGGTTTTTAAACGATACCCGAAACTCGAGGGCTTTCCAATAGTGAACTATTCTTCTTTATTCTCCTGAAGATGAATAGTGAACTATTCTATTTTATTGTCCTGAAAATGAATAGTGAACTATTTGAAAGCGCTCTAGTTTCGAGTCTCGTTTGAAAACCATTTCAACTTTTGTCTCTGATCTTCTGTGCTAACTTCTTAATCAGAATTTACGAGAGTATTAATAGTATATTACACTAGATGTGTACCAATTGTTTGTAGTATCAAAAGCCAGGCTGGTGAACGTCAAACGTGCACCCAGAAACGAAATACATCACCCCTTTCTCAAGGTATACTGTTCTAGTACTAGTTGATAACATATACCTCGTTGTTTACCGCCACAATAACGTATAGAAAAATAATTAAGTACTGGTGAATGCAAATCAAGCGTTACCCACTCTTATATTATGTTATAATAAAGAAGAAAAATGTTCTTTTTAAGCACAATACTGGAATCGGTATTATAATATGTAATGTGTAAAGGGCGGGTTTTAGTTCGCTCTTGTTGCGACAAAAATACGCACCTCAGTCTGGGGCTGGGAACGTGCTAAAGGAGTGAGTGAAATCTTACTATTCAATTGATTAAAGTAGCCCAGCAGTTGGCGGTGTCTACTGGGGACTAGCTGACTTTCCTCTAGTCATTCACTTCTAAATTAGGGACGACTAGAAGAGATAGTCTTCGGGTAGCTTTGCACGAAATTCAACAAACGATCGCGATGGTGACTTAAGTCGCCACAACTAGCATCTCACGTGTTTGTTATGTTACAATTTTTACTTAAATCGCCACATCTAGCATCTTACGTGTTTGTTATGTTACAACTTTTACTTAAGTCGCCACAACTAGCATCTCGCGTGTTTGTTACGTTACAACTTTTACTTAAGTCGCCACAACTAGCATCTCACGTGTTTGTTATGTTACAACTTTTACTTAAGTCGCCACAACTAGCATCTTACGTGTTTGTTATGTTACAATTTTTACTTAAGTCGCCACATCTAGCATCTTACGTGTTTGTTGTGTTACAACTTTTACTTAATTCGCCACAACTAGCATCTTACGTGTTTGTTATGTTACAATTTTACTTAAGTCGCAACAACTAGCATCTCACGTGTTTGTTATGTTACAACTTTTACTTAAGTCGCCACAACTAGCATCTCACGTGTTTGTTATGTTACAACTTTTACTTAAGTCGCCACAATTAGCATCTTACGTGTTTGTTACGTTACAACTTTTACTTAAGTTACCACAACTAGCATCTTAAGTGTTTTTTGTGTTAAAATTTTTAGTTATTAACAAAAATAAGCACAGTTTGAAAAGAGAGAATAATTAAAATAAAACGATCTCTCATACTGTCTTTAATCATCAATTTTTTTAAAACATTTATATAAAACTGTAAGTTGAGAATTGTAGGATCAGTGATATTTTCCTCGTTATGCGTCTGCTTCTCATATTTCCTCCGAGAATATACAGAATATGAAATAAAATGTTTTTATTCTTTTAGCTCCTCCTTTTTACATTTCAGTTAAGTGCGTTTTGAGTACTTAAGAAATAAGTCGAGTTGTTTGTTCGTAATAATAATAATACTAAAGTCGTAAGTATCCAAAATATTTATTCTCTGCTCATGTACTTATGTATAAAGTCGGTAAGCAGAAGATACGCACAAATGTGTTAGTTACCATGACAACAAAGAGCAGAAGTGGTATCACTGTTTATGTACCCAAGGGCTTGGAATCGATTGATGTTTCACCATCGACTGGGCGTTACACTGTAGCTGTTGGATGATCCATCTTTAAAAATAGAGAATTTCATTTGTTGTTATTTATATGAATCGTTTCATCTATTTAAATAAAAAAAATCTGTAACGTAAGAATTTAAATACGATTCAAAACTTTATTAAACAATTTTCAAGTTTGTAATAAGCGGTAGTTTACTAGTTAACTCAAAAGTTACAAGTTTCTTGCGAGTGCTCATTTTTTATTGAAATTTGTAGTGAACTAATTGGTTGATAGAGCTCTGATTCGATGCCCTTTGCTTGTGCAATACGACAGCTCATGTATGACTAAAGAAATGTTCCCGGATTAGGTTGCTTTGTTTCGAAAATTTGTACAAAGTTACACAAGGGCTATTTGCTCTAGCCCTCTATAAGTTTGAACTGATAGACTTGAGGGAAGGCAGCTAGTCAGCAGCACCCACACCTATTCTTGGCATACTCTAATCGAATAGTGGGATATGATTGTTACTATTACAAAGCACTTACGACCTTAAAGTGCGAAGTGAATTTTTGCGGCAACGATCTCGGATTCACAGTCGGGGACACTAACCACTGGGCCACTACTAGCACGTTTTAGATGGCCTCCTTACAAAACAACAACAAAACAGGTAATTCCGGAAAGTCAGTTCTACGACACGGATGCATTTTTCTTTTGTTGTCCTTTGAATAAATTATTGTAACTTTATCTACGAATCTTCCCACCTACTCCTGCTCCACAAGTGCTAAAAGATCCGATGACTTTTGTTTTGATGAACCAAAAATGAGATACAATAGATTCGAAATATGCATTTCAAAATAACAAAAGGGCACCCGACTCACGATCTGCGGGTTGCGGGCTAGAATCCCATCACCAAACATCCTCGGCCTATTTTTTTTGTTTTTGTTTAATACTACATTCATTATTCAGTCCCATATGGCTGACATTGTATAGTTGAAGTACTAATACTTATTCTTGAAAAAAAAAGCCATATATGCGTTTTGAGTGCTTAAGAAATTAGCAGTGTTATTTTTACGTCTATTTTACAGTTTATTTTTAAGTTTATTGGTTTGTCAATAGAGGGCTCCCCAGTGGCACAGCGGCATGTCCGCGGATTTAAAACGGTAGAACCCGGGTTTCGATACCCGTGGTGGGCAGAGAATAGATAGCACATTGTGTAACTTTGTGTTTAATTACAAACAAATTCAACATAGGAGTTTCGTTGTTTTTCTAATGTATTCAGTTTATCTTTCAAAGACCTCTGGAAGGTACTCAAACAGTGGTGTTGTGCTTTATTTACTTACGTAAAATTGAGAAATAATCGATAAAAAAGCTAAGACATCCCTGTTATCTAATGTTATAGATATACAATATTGGTGCCCTTTCGCTACAGTTAGGTCGTTATGATAATTACAGTTAACTTTAAGTACCACATGAGAAACAAATAAGTTGAACGAGTATTACTATCTTTTTAGCAAAAACGTTGCAAGAAACATGCATTACTGTCTTTAGCTCCTAGTGTTTTCCATTGGATCAGCCGCAGCGGTGAGCTTATAGACTTACAACTTCAAAATCCGGGGTTCGGCCTTATGGTGGACAACACATTGAGGGGCCTGGTGTCATGGCACTGGACTCGCAATCTGCAGATCCTGGGAACGAAACCAGTCGCCGAATATGCTTGACCTGTACATTATGTGATTGTTATAATGTAACGGGAATCCCACTATTCATCATTAAAGTGTATTTCAAGAGTTGGCGGTGGGCGGCGTTGACCAGCTGTCTTACCTATCTTACCTTAATCTATCGTTGCAAAATTAGGGACAGTTAGCGCATGTAGGTCTCAAGCAGCTTTGCTCTAAATTAAACAAACAAACGAACAAAAGTTCCTGTGTACGACAGACTTGCTTCTTCGTTCCTCTGTACGACAGACTTGCTTCTTCGTTCCTCTGTACGACAGACTTACTTCTTCGGATGTGTTTTGAACGAGTTTAATCGTTGTTCTTTTGACATTTGTTAGTTAAATTTACCGAAAGTAATATATAGAAATGGAAATCAATTGAAAGTGGCTTATTAATTCAAATTAAGCTGTTTAAATTATATTAAATTAAATCTTATACTTGTAAACAATAATCTATTTTTGAAAGTACTGTTTAACTAGAAATCATAATCTATTTTTGAAAGTATTGTTTGGAACAACAACGCTGAGCTCTTGGCAACCGTCCGTAACTAAAGCGTTACTTCCTTTAATAAAATCTTAATCTGAACAAATGATTTATCAATTTGATCTGTCGAACAAGAAAGTATATATTATTGTTAACAGATGAGGAACCCCACTGAGCGATGAAATTTAATATCGTGATCAGTTTTTGCAGTAGCAGTGTTGTTTTTTAAACAATTAAAACTACGACGTTTCAGGCCATGGCTTTGTTTGTTGTGAATTTCGCACAAAGCTACTTGATAGCTATCTATGCTAGTTGTCCCTAATTTAGCATGAGAGACTAGAGGGAAGGCAACTAGTCAACGCTACCCACCGCCAATTCTTGGGCTACTCTTTTACCATCGATTAATGGGATGGATAGTAACATTATAACGTCCCAGGGCTGAAAGGGCAGGCATGTACGTGACGGAGATTCGAACCCACGACCTACAGATTGCGAGGCCTGTTCCTATGGAAAGAAATGTCGCAGTTGTAAATGATTAAAAAACTATCACTATAAAGTTGACCACGATATCAAAACTATAATTTACGTTATTGCTGTCCCCCAGTGGCACTGTGGCAAGTCTTCAAATTTCCAACACTACAATAAGGGGTTCGATTCTCCTCGGTGGACACAGCAGATAGTCCGATGTCGTTATGCCAATAAGTACACGACATTTAAAAAAATAATTGATTTTTGTTATTTAAGAACACCGATTTCTAGTTAAACAGTACTTTCAAAAATAGATTATAAAGAACCCACTTACTTTATCAATTTTCTGTCTCATAGAAACGCTCGGTATGGGATCTGAACACAATGAACTGAGTTACAATGGAGTTACTATTCGAAAAGACGCAGCATGACGATGAGTTTCAAAATATAGGGTATAGTGTTTTATCAAAGTTATAACTGAACAGGTCAGTAAAATAAATTTTAAACCTGTTCCCTTCCTTAGTTCATTTATTTCCTTATAAAACCTCGAGGTATTTTATTGTTGCATAGCGTTATGTAGCAGTAGTTCAAATCAGATAAATTATGTGAAGTTTGCACATTTAGAGGGGGGTCTAGCGCATGTGCGCTTGACGGCCATTGTTTGAAACAAATGTAGTAGGTAGTAATCAATAAGATGTACACCGGTCGATAAAGAGATTTCCTCGATGGTAAATGTCAGCGTTCAGTATGTGGAAACTAGACGGTTCTCTGTGGTATCTCCTGTACACATTGTATTTTCTATATCTATATAAATATAATAGTACTGTCTGTTGTATATACACATAACTACTTAGCAGGGTGTGGATGGATCTTCACCAAAATTAGTATGGAGGTTCATTAGGTCCACGCGGAGTCATATAGAAATTTTTAGTTTTGCGGTTTTTATGGGCGTTTTCTACCACTACTTCGCCTCCTATTGATAGATCTTCACCAAATTTGGTGTATATATATATATATATATATTTACAGGAAAATAAATATCACTGTGAAAATTGCTTCTGTGTAATGTTGGATTTGTTTGCGTAGTCATGCTCAACTATTTATTATTATTAAGTACTTATTTAACTTGATTCGGTAAACTTAGCGCATGGCGCTAACAAGTTATTATTCTATGTCAATAACATGTTCTACATTTGTACTTCGTTTCCTATAATGTAAAAAAATGATTCAAGTATTACAGGAACATTGGATGGATAGATACTAAATTTTATTTACAAAGAGCATACAACATAGGTACAGAAGATGAACCTTTAATCTAAACATCCATTTTGATAAACTTTCAGAACAACATTTTTCAAGTAAACACTCTAATTAACTAAGGTGGGATATGTCCGTCTTACTGAACAAACTACCAACAATGTTAAATACCATAGTAAATAAAACAAATCAGATTATCACCGAGTCTAAACTTACAAAACGTTATTTGACTTAAACCCATAAAATATCTCATTCTCAATACAGGGTTTATGTAATTAACAGGATGCATTTCACTGGCAAAATAACAATATCTTCAAAAATTCAAATGATTTTCTGTAAGGGCGTGCTTAACAGTACGGCTGAAATCATAGTCTTGTCCGTATTTATTGAAAAAATGAACGAATGCTTTGTTCGAGTGAGCAAGTTGCGGCTGTTTTTAATCTATTGCAATTCATACAGTTTTTGTACTTTTTGTTTTACCAAATATGATATGAAATCATTGAATATTTATTAAACAACATACATTAACAAAGTATTAGAAAATGACCGAGGATAAGGCCTAAAAACGTAAGAAAAACGAAATGGCAAATTGTGAAAGTGTTGGTGTTATCTAACACTGAAAATAGCGTGTAACCATATTGATACGTGTTTTGTCACGAACAGTTAACCATGCTGAAATACGAAAATTAACCCAAACTTTGTCACAAGCTCATAAAATGTTGTAATCTATAAAGAAACTGTTTTAAATTAAACAACGAAATCCCAATGTTCATGATGTTTTAAATCAGGGTGTTTCCAAATTTTTTAGCACTAACCTTACAATAATTCAGGGATTTAGTAACATAAATAAAATTAATAAGAAACTGTTTTAAATTAAACAACGAAATCCCAATGTTCATGATGTTTTAAATCAGGGGTTCCCAAATGTTTTACCACTAACCTTACAATAATTCAGGGATTTAGTAACATAAATAAAATTAATAAGAATTACACTTCTTAAACGTAATTCACTTCACTCTGAAACACTTGTTCGAAAAATTTGTTAATATAAACAGTGCCTAAATCATTACCATGTTTATTGTATCCCAGTAGGCCTGAAGAGCCCTAGATTTGGGCAAAAGGTCTCGTCAGCACTGGATTTAGCAGAGATAATGTGATTGATATATTATCATGCACTCTTTTTTTTTCTTTAAATTTCCATTCGGGAATTCTTATAATTAGACACTAGGTGACAACCCCCAACAGATATTTGATAGAAATTTTAAACAATAGACAACTCTGAGGCACCTTTTTTAAGGGCAATTTGTTCTTTGAAAAAACAAACAATGCTGTGTAGCCACATTTATCCTAATAAATAAAGTTCGCGTCATAAATATTACCTTGTCTGGAGTGAGGGAAGTTTAAAGTTTGTGACTAAAAGCTTCTGTTGATTATATGACATCAAACCTTCTAAGCCTAGAATCAGTAGTGAAATGTTAAAAATTGTAAATTCAAACCAGATGTATAATCTACTGGAATTTAATATGGTTTTAATGTTCGAAATGATACTTTGTAAGAACACACTGAAAAACCTAACATCTTAAACTTACAAGACTGATGACACAAAAATTCTTAATATAAACCTCGAAATAGTAAACGTTAACTTGAAATTTTTCATGGCTTAAGTCAAATATTTCTAACTTTTTGTGTTACTTTATTATCTAAATATAAGGAATAAACATCAACTTTCCTATTTATTCAACCACACCCACTAAAGTGACAAATACATTTGTGTTATTTTCATATTAACTGAAATGGAAACTTCGTTATTCATAATATCATTATTACACTCGTATTCTGAATTCAATCTGACAACTTTTTTTTTTTTACAGAAACATTTTGTTTCTCTTATTTATTCACGATAATTCATACTAAAGATTCTTAGAGATGTTTATTTCTTAGCTTAAAATACAAAATGATGAACCCCTAAAGATTATAAAGCTCTCTCAGAAATCATTGTTTGTTTGTTTGAAGTTAAGCACAATGGGCTATCTGTGTTCTGCCCACCACGGGTATCGAAACCCAGTGTCTAGCATTGTAAGTCCGCAGACATACCGCTGTGCCACTGGGGGCTATAATATTATTATCCACATATCAGTAATGTTTATAGTTGAGAAATATTTTGCTAAATAACATAACATTGTAAAGACGTACATAAAATTGAAATATCTCCCTGTTGATTAAGAAATCCTGGAAGGATTTAGAAGAGAATATAAAAGGTTGACGTCAAATAAAATATTCAGTGTGCCTATATAACATTGAGAGAAAAAAATAATAATTTTGAGATTAAATATATATTTTCGAGGTAAATCAAATGATAACAAATTCTACGATATTTATCACTTAAATATTCGGGGGTTGTTTTGTACCTAAATTTTAAACTGAAAGTATCAAGTTAGGTGTATTATTATTATTTTTTTTTCGATTTAAAATTTTGCCATCATTTATTTTAGCTTAGACCTATTCCATTTCTTCCGCATAAATGGAGAAACAACTTTGTAATCTACAGAAGAGAAAAAAAGTAACAATGAACGTTTTTTAGAAAACAATAAGTATTCATAGAACATTTTTATCATGCTATAGATCTGTTGTGATTCAAAATATATAAGTGCAAACATTTGGTACATAAACCTGATCAGGTTACACTCTGAGATAATTCTACTACAAAAATTGGAATGCTACTGTGAAATAATATCACGATAATATCATTACATTTGTTTTTTCAATTGAATGCAGTGATTCATTGTTAAGTACAATTGGTCGCAGAATTGCCAAATAGTTGAAGTCGAGTAGACGTTGCTCATTAGACTTACAAACGTCCAACTCCTGTTAGCTGTAGTACGTCAAAAACACACACGTTCTAAAGTTTTTCAACTTACGAGATCCATCCAAACATGTTACATTTCTTTTCTTTTCACCATATCACGGTAGCATCAGAAAACCACGATTATTATGTATTTGTTTAGAACATCTTCGAACTTCACAAGAAAAAACGTCGAAAAAATCTGTCGGTTACAAAGTGTTCATCATGGAAAAAAAAGGCCAGATGTAAAATATATTTTTAGTTCTAGCTATATCTGGAATACTGTTAACCAGATACGGGACAGTAAGCCTTGAGCTCGGAAAAAACTTCGGTAAAAAAAGCGGGCTCGCTGTTAAGGCGCAACATTTTTTCACTGAGCAGATTAATTATTAATATTGATCTCTCCCAAAATTTATTTCTGTTTCCTTCGGCAAGAAATGGTTTTAAGGGGTAGGAAATCTCGTTTCCCATGTAGGAGTAGGAAAGATACAAACAAGTTAGGACGACGGCCTGCAGTTCACGCTGACTTTCAATGTCTTCTGTTACCATTTCCCTTGTCAGCATGTACAAAAACACAATATTTGCTGGGTTAATGAAAGCAATGTCTTGCCATCCTTTTAGTAGCAGAGAACGGTCGACGGTTCGAAGCCACAGAACAGCGTCCCCACCTTGAAAATCTCTTATTTTCCGACAGCGACGATATAGAAACTCGCCGAAACATCGAAGCAGCTCTGAGGTAGAAGCTTGGATGATGGTTCTTCTTTGGGCTCCAAGGCCAACCGCTGGTCGTGGTGGTGTCACATGCATGTACCCCTGCTTGCGACTATTGTACATGGGTCGGATCAAATTGTGGGTGGTCAACACAGTGGTAGGCCTGGGTGGAAGGGGAGGGGGATCGTTCCTTGAAATTCGTTTGATATCTGGTTGAATATTCTTCCTCACTAAGAGATCTACAGGACTCACTGCGTTAGTTTTGAGGCTGTAACAAGTCAAAGACTTCTCGATGTTCTTGTTATTGTCCACGAGTGATTCGACGCCGTCGAGGTGCGGGCGAGAATTTATGTTTTTATTTTTTTCTGCCTTTTTCTTTCCAGATACACTAAAGTTCTTCCAATTCAAAGCATTAATAAGCATCGCATGTTTTTTATTCTGATTCATATTGTTACTGTTGTTGTTGTTGATATTGGTATTTAGAACTTTCTGTAAATTCCTTTCCTTATTCCGTACATTGTTTAACTGCTCTTGGTTTAGATTATTTACTCTGTAATCTCCAGATACAGTTCTACGCTCTCTGGGCGAAACGCTAAGTACCGTACCCATAATGAAGAGAATAAAGAGCTTCACAAAAAAAAGTACTTACTGATTACAGTGTCTTAAGGTCTGTCTTTTTAGTCTTTGGACGATTTTTTCTGTGTGTACGAGCTATCCAAGATGGAGAAGGGAAGTCTTCATTTTCACTGCAAGCGAATGACGTCGTTTTGTCTTTCAGAAACAGACGGTCGATAAATACCGCACCAGTGAGGCTGCTTTTTAGTAATACCGTATTTTATTTTGTTAATAGAATTGGTCTGGTGAGTATGACAAACGAAAACGTTTCTTAGAAGGTAGCAAGTTCTTTTTCAAGTTAAATTAATAAATTCCAACAGAATTTGCAAGTGTGTAAGCTTCTAGTATTCACCTGTCTCCACTTTGACCAAAAATGGATTTCTACAAGCTCGTCGTCATAGAAACGCTAAACAGAGTCTGCGTATTAACGTTCGTCAATACCGATGAAGTCATGTTAGTTGTGACAACATTTATGCCAATTATAGTCTGTGGATATATAAGCTTCATAGAGATGAACAGTGAGAACGAAGAAACAAAAGCTACACAGTGTGGTTATACGATTTCTCAATCACGTTTACCAATAATATTTTGGTGTTAGGTGGTTTGATGAGAATTGCTGATGTTTCTCAACATAAAAAGGGGCATATTCACCCATACATATTTCAATCCAAGTCATTAAACTTAAATATTAGTTCATGTTATACATGAATCATAAGTTGCAGCGAGTATTATTTTATAAAGTAGCTACACACTCTGCCCTCCAACAAAATAAGATCACTCATGGTATTGAACAGCAAATGCAACAATACACCGTTCAAAATAAGACCACTCACGGTATTGGACGGCAAATGCAACAATACACCATTTAAAATAAGACCACTCATGATATTGGACAGCAAATGCAACAATACACCATTCAAAATAAGACCACTCATAGTATTGGACAGCAAATACAACAATACATCATTCAAAATAATATCACTCATGATATTGGACAGCAAATGCAACAATACATCATTCAAAATAATATCACTCATGGTATTAGACAGCAAATACAACAATACACCATTCCAAATAAGACCATTCATTGTATTGGACAGCAAATGCAACAATACACCATTCAAAATAAGACCACTCATGATATTTGACAGCAAATGCAACAATATATCATTCAAAGTAAGACCACTTATGGTATTGGACAGCAAGTGCAACAATACACCTTTTAAAATAAGACCACTCACGGTATTGGACAGCAAATGCAACAATACATCATTCAAAATAAGACCACTCATGCTATTGGACAGCAAATGCAACAATACACCATTCAAAATAAGACTACTCATGATATTTGACAGCAAATGCAACAATACATCATTCAAAATAAGACCACTCATGATATTGGACAGCAAATGCAACAATACACCATTCAAAATAAGACCACTCATAGTATTGGACAGCAAATACAACAATAGATCATTCAAAATAATATCACTCATGGTATTGGACAGTAAATGCAACAATACTCCATTCTATATGAACTTATATAAATAGACAGGGATTTGTAAGGCAAAAGACACTCTGTAAACTGAAGGTTCATTTAATGCTAACATGATATATATATATATATATATTAAGCTCTCAAACTGTATTTTATTAGTGTGTATTATAATAAAATAATAATGCTGCAAGTGTTTTATGCCCATTATTACTTTAGCAGTGAATTAGTTTTTACAGTTTGAAGTCGCAATTTATAAAAAAACAAAACACAATTTTCTCCTTGTAACTGTTTCATTTGAAAATCCAACTAATAATTAAATGGACGCTTTTATAATAATTTTCAATAAAAATATATATATGAAATTAAGAAATGAAAATAATCCTGGCTGGAATATCAAAAGGTATCGACAAATGAACTTCAAAATAATTACATAATTATCAAAGCTTCCTTCATATTGCTCTTCAATATAATTCTATATAATAATAATTATTATTAATTATGTTATAATTGTATAATTCTACCCTGGCTTAGTTAAATAGAAAGAAGTATATTTGGTTTTACTACTTTTTAAATTTGTATTTATTCTAAGCCTTCTCTAGTTGAATACGTACGTAGGTTGTTTTTTATGTGTAAATACTATCAATATGGTTCGTCCCTCATGATTGAAGAAGACCATCTTCATCATCATCCATTGATTTTGTGTGTTCTGAGATGACTTATTAGCCCGATCCTGGCTTGAAAATGTCTGGCTCAATGAGGGCAAGACAACAGGGAGACTGGTGGGTTCTGGTGGTTATTAGCCCGATCCTGGCTCAATGAGGGCAAGAGAACAGGGAGACTGGTGGGTTCTGGTGGTTGCTTCCTATTGCTTTACATTCTGCACGCTTGTTCTGGGCTGTCAGGATGCGATGGTGTTCATATGTGGCTGCTCCCTTTGTGACAGCACTCCTCCAGGCTGGGCGGTTCTGGGCAAGAGTTTCCCAGGTAGTAGGATCGAGGTTAGTGTAAAATAGGCAATTTTTAGGGCACATTATACATGGATAATTTTAGAACTTTAAATCATTCATGACATGTTTTAAAGCATTGTGTACAGCTTCAACTTCCCCCACACACCCCCGGTGGCTCAGTGGTACGTCAGACGGTTTATGACGCTAAATATCGGGTTTCGATACCCGCAGCTAGCACAACACAAGCATCTCGTTGTGTAGCTTTGAGCTTAACTACAAACAAACAATCAAGCTTCAACTTTGAGGGTATTCTAACTAACACTCTGAAAGATACCGTATATACTATAACTCGACACGAACAGACATGGATATTTTAACTGAGAGCAACTTTCTAGAATTCTATATCAATGTAAATTTAACGTTTCTTCATTTAAGAAGGTTATCAGATTCCGAATCTACATTACAGCGTGCTTATTAGAGTAGAATAAATATGATAAAACGACCTTAAAAGCATCAAAAAAATCACAGCAAACATTGGGAGAAAACATAATCGTTCATAGATACGAATCGAAACAGTAATGTAGGCTACTCAAACCGTTTCTGGTGAGCCAGTGGTGAGTTTATGAACGCTAAATTTACGAGCTAGACTCCTTGCGATGGGCAGATCACAGATAACCCTTTGTGTAGCTTTGCGTTAAAACAACAATAATCCATTTAAATAGACTTTCGCTTCAAAGCAATATACTAAAACCTTGTAATAAGAAACTAAATTTTATATGAAATCAAGAAATTTTCTTAACAGTTGGAGTGCGGATTTAGCAACAACGGGCTCATTGAACCAAATCACATGACTAACAAAATTTTTTCTCTTATTATTTATTATTTTATTACAAGTTACAGCTTTTACAGTAATGAAGAATATTTCTAAAACAGGTAAGACGTTTCAATCACTGTTGCAGTAAAGAAAATTTTAGTATTTAATTACATCAAAAGTGATTTTACCGTTAAAACATTTGTACTTCAGAATGATCGCACAAGTGATCGAAACGTCGTGCCTGCTTTAAAAACATTCTTCATTACTGTATAAGCTGTAACTTGTAATAATATAATAGTAAGTCAACTCAAAACGAAACTATTATTTTTTCTGTTTGTTCCGAAACTGCTACTAATGGGAGCTTTTGCTTTTGGTAAGAAACTGCACTAAAAATGGCATGCAGAGATGTTGCCATCTATTGACAAGAATAAACATATTGTCGTAGCATAATGCACACAATTCTTCATAAAAAATTTCGAGATGAAGAAGATGTAAACCGAAATAATGTTCTCTTTTATGGGTAAATGTCATAAATATTTTAAAAGTTAGAGGTCTATACATATGTATCTCATAAATTTATAGTTTTCATTGATAGATTAATTACTAATAGGATATTTTTGTACTTAAGTCAGTTTGTTAGAATTTATTTATAAACTATTTTAACTTTTATTTAAAAACAACAAAAACAACAACACTAATTTCTGACTATTCCTCTTGCAGGGCATCCACCTATTTACCCAGTTATGTATTACTACCATTTTGACTATCTATATCTTATTATAAAGATACAGTCTATATAATTAAAAGTGTAACGTGTGTACGTGCGTGGGTTAGTATTTAAACTTCAATAAACTACACAAAAATGAAATTAGGAGTAGGGAAGCACGGACGACGTCATCATATACGTAAGCTAGAGGTGGATGTAGAGAGTACTATGCATTCATTGCAAGTGGAACGGCATCTGAAGAATGGATATGTCATCCCTCAGAGCTCCATCTGAGACAACAGTGTTTACAGGTTGAAATTTTATGTGTGAAATTTTTTATTTGTTTATAGACACTTAGAGCACTAGTACTGTCACCCTGTTGAGTTTTAATACTTGCCATCAATACCCAGGTTTTGAAAGCGTCGCTAGTTCTGGTGTCTCTTACTTGATAAATCGATCATTTTGTCTTTTTTTTTGTGGATATATGTGTTTTTAATAGGTTTAATCTACTTAGGTTTAACCTCACAGCCATTCAGACGCCCCGCACGGCCATCAGATTCGTTCAGAACTATAGTACTTAATCTGATACGTGAGTAATCTAGGCAGGTCATTTAACTGTTTAAATTACTTTAAATACACAGCACTATCTTAACATTTTATAAACTTTGTGCATTCGAATACAAAATACTACAACCAAAATATGTTTCGAAGCATGACTTTTCTCCCTAGTAACAATTATATTATTTAAACTTGAAAATTTAACTATATGATGTATTTTATATGCAATTTAACACCAACGACCCTTTCTGATATCGATACTGTAAAAGTTACTTACTTAACACGTATTTACTCGTATTGAACAAAAACTTTTTACTATTACCGGACATTTTATTAAGCAGTGAAACAGTTTTATTTTATTTTCAAAATAATATACTACACTTAAAACATCTCTGCAGAGGGTTAATCATGTTTTTGAAAATTTTGTATATGCTAACTCTTTCGAGACGAGTAAAAGGCCATGTCATCTCGTTTGTTGACTCGCATTCACAATTTTATTGAACTACTATTTCATGAATTTATGTCAATAAGTTTGGTATCAAGCTGTAGATTATAATTCAACTTTTAGAACTATACATTACTAATTTTTTTAATTTAAAAGTAAATATAAAAAAGACACAAATAAATATCGATTTGTGTGTCACGTGGAAGGTTTAATGCAGTACTGGTTCAAATTAGATGTTTGTGAAGTCAAAATACTAAATCTATAGTTTCGTACGAATTAAAAACAAAAATTACAGATATTGACAAGCTAGAATATAAAATAAGAAGGTCT